TGTAGTCGTTTCTAATTTGACAGACTTACTTTGCTGTTACTTTAGTTATTGTTAGTTTAATCATATATATAATCAATGTTAATTCAAAGTATAACTAAATACTTTTATTTTGAACAAAGTAATGGTGAATTAAATCATTCAAACAATTATAACTCCGCCCACAAATAAACTGCTAAAGAAATACTTTGATTACCAGTTTTATATTTTTACCCTGGTTGATACGGTTTTATGGTGTCACGTATTTGCGACAGTCGGCGCGAAAGGGTTAAAGCCACCGCTTTTCATTTTTTTTTCTATCCAAGTCCATTTCCACCGATAGTTTGAATTTTTTATATGTTCTGGATGAAAAATTACTTAAAACGATAAATACTAAGCTAAAAATAATTAAAATTTTGGTACCACTAGAAAACATTACTTTGACCTTTGAAGTGGTAGTCACATTGCAATTAATTAAAAAACTGCAATATGGCTACAATTCTGGTTCAGCAAACAATATTTGTGTCTATAATTTTGTGTCTATAAAATAAATTCCAATAATAAAACACTTCAGCTGCCACTTTTTTTTCTTTATTGAAAAATATGATCGAGTCATTTAACGTCTTATACCACGGGGTTTCTTTTTTCTAAAAAACTGGCGAAAGTTATCGAATTTTTTTTTTTTTTTTTTTGGACCAAAAGAATATCTAAGTATGGTGTAACTTAAGTTGCAATTTCAAATATCTAGGGAACTGGGATTGGTGCAAAAATTATAGAAAAAAATTACTGTACAAACAAACTTTAAATAATTTGATTAGATGTTAATTTTGAGTTTCGAAATATTAAAATCAAATTAGGTCAATACGTCAATTAATAATCAATTAATTAAATTAATATATCAAATAGCTTATCATCAAAATGCACCACGTGGTTTTCGCAGGAAAAATGCTGCATAGTGATGTCATCCGTGGTGAATAAATTTAATTCTAATCTAGTCTATCAATTTTTAATAGAATGCGTCTCAAACGGGCATTAGAAATTAAATAACGCAAGATATAAAATCGCCCGTGTGAGACTCGGGCATATGCAAATTTGCCGGTAACTTTCGCCCGTGTAAGAAAGTTTAAAAGGGGTGAAGAAGCTCAAGGCGTATATTCATCCCATATGTTCATTCATCACTTGAATTACTATTAATAATTCGTAGCTATCACTTTCTATGAATGATTGCTACTTGATTAAAGAATACGACTCAAGACAAGAATTCTCTATCACTGAAGATTTTTCTAATTTTATAATGATATATTTTTTGTTAAAATAGTGGTAGTTGTTTTATGTTTTTTTTTCACATTATTTTTAATAATCTTAATATAATTGAACAGAACTGTATCTGAGGCTACTTGCGGCCCTTTTCCCATTCATCTTGAGCTTGATCTGTGTGGTGCTTCGATGAGGTTGTTGAATGCAAATGAAGTAAAGGAGTACTCACGTAAATCATTGAGGTTCTGACTGCGTAATTATATACAGTAGTGTGATAAGACTTAGTAAAAGTTATGAACTTAAGCTAAGCAGATATGATGAAAATGGGGCTATGTATATGCTATTGATGTCGGGAATATGCAGGGTCCGATCAAGACAAATTCAGGCCCAAGGCCCACCACATTTTCTGGGCTTCTTACAAAATAATTTGAAATTAAATTACTTAAGAGTAGTCGTAACAATTAAAAAGAATCTATTGAACTGCATGTTTCAAGAGAAACATTGTAAGAAATTTTGAAAACAGACAGTTGAAGATTATATTTCAAAGATAATATTTACGTATCTATAAATTAAAGCAAAATATGAAACAACAAAGCAATGTTCTGCCAAAATAAAAATAGTTTGATGACCACAAACAATTGAAATCAGTGATTTTTGCTAAAAGTCACTGATTAGCTGAATAATTTTTTATTGTAAGCTGTAATTATGTTTTATTTAGTACTTAAACCATCATAAAGCTTACCTACCTTACATTAGACTTTTATTAATTCCTGAGGCCCCTCAGAAATTGTGGGCCATAGGCCCATGCCTATCGGGCCTAGGCGATTATCAGGCCCTGGGAATGTGATGCATCACTGCAATAGTATGCAGTGGTGTGTTTTTACGCGGATAGAATTTTAGTTGATAGCAAAGCTGCCGAGAACAGAATTTCCCCGTTAAGATCCTTTCTAAAGGTATAAATTAATTTGTAAAGTAATATAAGTATCGATTTTGAAACTGTAATTATTTTAACTATTGAACCTTTTTGCTATATTAACTATATCCCCATGATAACTATTAAGTCTGATGCACAAAGTGCCTTTAAATAAAAAAGTGGCACGTCTTCGATCCTTAACATATTTTCGGCCAAAAATATGTTAAGGCCATCATTTTAATAAATTTTTTTTTATCGGCTCGGTAACGTATTTTTTTCACTAGTCTTTCTGTTATTGTCAAGGGTTCTGAAGAAATCTATAAAATATAAGTAATTTAGAGTAAACACTTTCTGTTGAAAATTTTTTAAGCTACGCTAGTTTTTTAACTTGAAACAGTTTTTGACAAATTCGATTTTTAGAAAATGTATAATTATTCCATTTGAGAGTAATCACATGTTTTTGTGATATAATAAAATTGCAAGTTTTATAAATAAAATAAAAAATAAAACAACTTTCTTTAACTAACGTTTAAGTAAATGATTTGTATCCATTGAATTAGCCAATGATGCATATGCGAATTTATTAGTTAAGTAAAATATTATTTTTAATGCGCCACACTTTTTTTGTCTTAATGAATTTAATTTAAGCATATTTCAATGAAAATAACACCGTATTTTATAATATTTCTATGCTTGGCTTTAAAAATAGGTCAAATGTATAAATATAAAATGATGCAACAATATATGGCTCAATAGAACGTGTGCATGCAACTTCAAACTTGAAACAGAGTTATTGATCCAACGTTTTGGGTAGACTTAATGTACACATACAAGCTTTTCAAGTCAAAAGTCTTTTTTATTAGTAAACTACGTTTTGCAACGCAACACTGAAAAATAGAGCGTGTACTTTTGCCTTTCATGTAGAATTTTAAGATAGATCTAACATTTTGACTAGGTTAATTAACCATTATTTAACTATTCACGCTCAATATTTTTTTTTTTTAAATATGGACTTCTGTGTATTTATTTACATCATTTATCGGTACTGGTGACAAAAATTATTACATATTAACTCAGTAAAACAAGAATAAAATCATTACTATATACTTTGTAAATACTTAAATAAGATCTCCAGCAAAAAATATTATTTAGCAAATAACCCTTTTCTCTACTGATTTTAGCATTTCTTCCCAGTTGTACCATCACCTCCTACATCAGAAAGCCTCCACACGGCTTCTTATAATTAGTCTGCGCAGATTATTTAAAAACCGAACCACTTGTGCGCATGAACCCAAATTCCATTTTAAAAGTACTTGAGAGAAATTTATCATATATATTTAAGAATTGAATCTGTAGTGGTTGACAAGTAAATAAAACAAACCAATTTTGTTCATTAATTTAAATAAATTTTAGACATATATTTGCTACCACTTTCTAATAGATTTCATATTAAATGGTTTTTTTTCACTGATCGGACTACTTACAAAAAACCGTGTGGCGGCTTTCAGTTGCAGGAGGCGTTGGTTGTACCCATCTTAAACAAATAGAATTTTAAATAAACTTATAAATTATCTGTTTAGTAGTGGTGGATAAACTCTTTTAACATGGTTTTTCAAAGTTCTGTCGCCAAGGAAAATAAAAATAGCTACAATTTAAGCACCTTGCACTTTGAGGCAAAACGCTAATTTTAAACTACATTAGTCATCTTGCCCTTTAAAAATTATCTGGGTTTTAGAACGGATGAATAACTTAAATATTTTATAAGTTATTAAACTTATTTAAAAATCACTAATTTGGCGACCTTTTTACACCTGGATGAAAACTATGAAAATCACTGCCTTATTCTCTGTTTTTGAAAATTTTTATGAGCCCAAATAATGCCACATTGGGTTAAGTTTTTAAAATTTAGACCACAAATACTTTTCATTTACATAAAACTGTGGCTTTTCGCCATATTGACATTTTGCACAATTTTCAGAATAACCTGTAGCTTTAGATATAGACTAAACTTGTTTAAACAGTCATGAGTACCTGTTGCAAACTTGCAGCAGTTATGAAAATAGTATATTATTCACAAAAAAGCATAATTTCATTTGACGACGAAGCCTTCGAAAAACAGCCTTAAGCAAATTTACTGAACTGAGAATCACAAACTGAACAATTTTGCTGCAGCTGGTAAAAAGTGTCCACACAGAGAAGCAGTGGTTTTCATCTCTACGTGAATCGAGGATTATCATCATCTTATATTTATCTAGGTGCCTCAAACCATAGTTGCTAAAATTCGAAAGGAAGTTTCGAATCAACTACGATTACATTTCCATTATTCTACAACGTTTTTATCTTAATTATTTCAACATAGCTGCCGATTTTTGTTCTTAATGCTTAAAATTCTTTGAAGTGGTAGCCATATTTCAATTGATTAAAAAACTGCAATATGGCTACAATTCTGGTTTAGCAAACAATATTTTTTTTAAAAACTTGTTATGACTTTTATATATTTGTTTTAATTACTTATTTGTGTGAAGAGTTTGTTAAAATGCTTATAAATCAACTTTGATTAACGAAGATGAAAATATTTACGTTTATATTTGTCACAAAATTAAAGCACTTCTATCTATTGCAAAAATCAAGGCAGTTGGGTAAAGAGGGTTTAAAATGTTCTCCACAAAAATTTGATAATGACATTAAGAACTTTATGAACACGAAACCATTGAAAATGTATTTCATGTCTATCTGATATATCCGAGAAAATTTTATTTTTATGTTTAATGTCGTAATGCGATAACTGGTTAGATTATATTTAAATAATAATTTAGCGTTAATTTTCTTACGTCTCTCTAAAATATTATTTCAGGTTGATATTTGGGAAAAGACCGATGAACCAAGAAGTTGTGCCATCTATTGAAGACCCTAATAAATATTTACTGCAAATTCAAGATATTTCACAGGTATAAAATATCTTTTCCAGAAGAATGTTATTGATCTTTCTATATTAAGCCTTACAAAATGTAAATGAAAAATTATTGTTTTATAAATAGTTAATTTTATGTTAGAAATTAAACTTGCAAGCCCTAACACAATAAAGAAAATGATTCATCCTACTGCATTTTCCCCCTCTAAGACGAAGAATTCTCGAAATTATTTACTTATAGCGGATATTTATGTCCCCTCCCTTCTTAAAGCCCATTACCATAGATCTCGTTAATGGATTATTAATTTCTGTTTTAATTTAGTTTATTTGACCTAATTATTTAGATTTATTCTATGTCCTATAATTCATTTCCTCATAGTCCTCTTCTTCTTCTTAAGCACTACAGGCGGTTACAGGCCAAAGCCGTCTCAGTCAGTTTACCCCATCTAGATCTCATTGATCTCCCCTTATGAAAAAATAGATTCTTAATAGTAGAATGTTTTAGTAACATTTTTAGATAGAATTAAAAATTTCAAGAAAAGATTAATTTTATTCTTATTTAACTATGCAACTATAACACTGGGGAACATTTTTTTTTCTTTTGTTGCATGAGATTTTTGGACGGATCTTAGATATTTTTAGGTCACTGATTTCCTGTAATCGGTTTCTCTTTACAAGCTACGGTTTTTATGCAATTTAATCATATATTCCTAACCAAGACTTTTAAAATTACTCGAATGAATATTAAGTGTCCCCACTTTTCTGCTACTTAAGGAGTGGTAGGCAGAAAGTGATAATCATAAAAACAGATCAGTTCATCGGTAGCTTTCGCAACAAAACTGATACCAAATCTGAACCCCATTTAGATCTCATTGATCTCCGCAGGTAAATAATTGTATAAATGCAAATGAAAATGGCTCCCCACTGCAGTTTATTATGCAATGTCTTCGCAGATTTCAGTATATACAGGTATAAAGTGCGTAGCTTTGAGTATTCCCGAAGTTGAAGAAAAAGTATTTGCTGAAGCACTTGGCTAAGAAAGTTGATGAACACCGTAGAAAGCCACTAATTTGGCAGCACATAAAGACGCCAAGTTTACTAACGCTAAAACGAGGTCAAATAAGACAATTCATCTGTAATTAGACTAGAGCATGTTTTTGTGTCAAATTTCCCATAGTAAATACAAAAAATTATGAAATAAAAAGCTAGTTTGAAACTATGTAATGCAGGTTTCACCCAGTTCTTAAAAAATAAAAATTTCGGCATTTTTTTTTCTTTCATATTAACGGCAAATTTAGTATTCGTCGCATACAGTTTCGGATGAAGGATCACAACTTGACCCAGAGGCCGCTGGGGCAGCAAATTATCAAACAAAATTATGGTTTAATATTTTAATATAAATTATCGCAGACTTAAAAAATTTAAACTCTCTGAATCCCTGAGATCCTCAGGGTTCCGCGAACACAATTTGGGAACCAATGCTTAGAGTATGATTATCATACTTTTTTTGGTAGAACATGCACGCTTGTGTGTTCAATTAACTTTTGTCAAGAAGATGAACTAATTACACGATTTACAGGAATATACATCAGAGTTTAGGCACTATTCGAATCTTCAACCTCCATGCATCAATAATTATCTAAATAGGGGTTACTTTAATGATGTAACAAATAAGACTAGGTTAAAGTTATAGAATTTTAATGGTAGGTAAAATAATTTTCTTTTTAAATTTTTGACACCAATTTATAAAAACATGCGAACTACTACAACAAAATTTCCCACAACGACTATATAAGTTAGCATTTATGATTATCATTACACACTTGATAATCATGCAATTATCAGAGACTCCAACTTTTAAGGCTGTTTGAGGTTAATAATTTTATAAAATCAATAACGTTAAATTTAAGAACAACTGTAAGCCCTGGCAAAAATTTACTACTTCCATTATAGATCTTCAAGGTATGTAGATGACCTGTATATTTTATTATGAACTCCAATCCTGCTTTTAGATACATATATACAATTAAGAATATTAACAAAATAAACATAATAGAGTTTTTGTACTACACTTAACAAACATGTATTCCTTAACTTTTAAATTTTAATGACTATTTATCATGAATTTTCTGATTTGTTTCTACTTAATGTTTCTCTTTTATGTTTTCCTCAATGTCCAGGTTTATCATACAAAAGCTGGTAGGAAATACGCAGTCGATAATTTAACTCTGAATATTCCTGTCGGAGAAGTAAGTTAATTTTTACTCCATATATTATGTTATCCTGTCTTGAATTATACCCACACACATATACAAAGGTTGATTTATCAAGAAGTATCAATTTCAATGCCGTATTAATCACGAACAATGTAAGATATTTCATGTTACCTGCAGCAGAATTGTACTGGCTTATTTTAAATTTTCTTAGGTACAGTTGCAGATGTCCCAACAAATATATATCATGTGCGACCTCCTAAGTCACACGATACACATAGAGCCGATAATCCATTTCCGCCCAAATGCATGTTAAATTTTTTTAATCAAATCTGAATCAAATAATAGTGGCTGTGATGCTCCTCTAAATAAGCACCCTATAGGAAGAAATCAAAAAGTGTTAGAAGTTGGATCAGAGCATCTGGGGGGGGGCATTTATGAATTGCATTTTGTAGTACGGCTCTTCCAATAAATCGGGGAAGGAGATATTCTTCAAAGAAGGTATATACATACCTGCCAACTTTTAATCCCTTCCATTATGATTTTTCTCAGTGGTATTAAAATGGAATAAAAATTTCAATTTTAAGCAAAAAAATACGTTGTATTAGAAAAAGCTTAAGCTGCCTATCATGATGGTAACGCATATTAATGTATATGCTTAATTATTTTAGGAATAGTGGTGATGAAAATTCACTACCAAATTCTTATAACTTTTTTCAGAAAGCTGAGCAGTTGGCATCTCTCTGCATATTTCGAAATGTTTTGATGTAACAATTCCTGAATTTAAAAGTTTAAAAACAAACTTTTTAATCTACCACAACAAATCAGTAATTAAAAATAATTTATATAAAACCCATCATTTCTCCCAGTGGTATTAAAATAGAATTAAAACTTCAATTTTAAGCAAACAAATACGTTGTATTTGAGAAAAATATAAGACAGATTTTGTTAGTTTTTTAAAAGGTTCAGAATGACATAACTGAAAAAAGTGGTGAGTTATATAAATTGTTTAGAAATAGTGGTGGATAAAAATCTTANGATGCATTAGATGGGCTTCTCACCCCTAGACAGCACCTAACAGTCTATGCAGGTCTGAGAGGAATACCAGCAAAAAGTGTTGCCACGGTATGTTACTTGGCTGAATTCAAATTGTGAAATTTAAGGTCTGTTTGCACTAACCAGGACATGGCGCATAAATATGACTACAGTCTTTTTAAGCCATTTACAGTAGTCCATTTGCGAGATAAACATGCATAATTAGCCCATTAATACCCAATCACTAAAAGTGGTTGTAGACATTGATATATGTCTAATATAAAGCTCAATGGTAAACGCAATGGTAAAAGGAACTGTCCTTTTTTTTTAAAGAGGCTAGGCACAAATTGATGCCAGACATATATTGCAATCATGTAAAAAGTACCTTTACGAGACGAGAAAGCAGTACAGTGAAACCTCTCGGGAGCGACCACTCTCTGATCCACTGTAAAATGGTCGTTAATGGAGGTTGGTTGTTGTTAGAGGTTATCTCCCCTGACTTCGAAATATTATCGAAAGTTCACGATTTTTCGCAAACGATTTCGATTTTAATGAGTGTCATTTCTTAGTGCAGAAAAGCCCCTTGTGTTGGCGTTATGAAAACCGGATCGATGACTGAAATTTAGCGTTAGTAGAAATATTCCCTACTGATATAATTATGAGTAAAAATTACAACTGATAGAACTACTTTAAATAAATAAACAATTATGTTTTTTGTTTCCGTTTGCATTTAATTTTATACCATAAAAATTACTTAATTTTAAAATTTGAGAAGATATTTATTTATTTGAGAAACTTGGTTTTTTTCTAAAATAACTTTTATTTTTTCAATTTAGCTTTCAAATCTAAAAATGAATCGTTGATAGCATCGTCTTTAATGCACTTTGACTGCAGCCAGAGGCTGTAGATCTCTTTCAGAGATAGTCAAAAAGAGCTTTCTAAATAAGAGCCACTCACAAAGATTTTGAACACTTTTCAATCTACTTATTTGTTTGAAAATTTTTTCATGTTTCATTATTTGACCTTTTCCACATTTGGCGCAGAGGTTTTGCCCGGTCTCTGAGAGAAGTTGTAATGGTCTCTCTTAAAGGTTTTCTTCGACACAAAGTCTTTCGAAAAAAACTCCGTGCCTTTCAAAAGTGGTCGTAAATAGAAGAGTTTGCTACATTCAAGGTGGTTTTAGCATAGTAGTACTTATATTTTTTAAATTAAATGGATATTTTCTTAAGTTACATAAAACTTAAGATTCTGATGAAATTCCCTTTAACTTCAGATCCCAATATTTTTTTCCAATGCCCACCTGGTGAATGACCTTTCGTCATACAGGTATCTGAAGGACATGTGTGTTGGCCACTCTTTCGAGAACACTATATAAGTGGGGGAACTTTGCTCCCACAATAAGGACACATAATACAGAGAATGAAAGAACATCCATGTCTTGCCCGGGATTCGAACTCAGAACCTTTCTGGTGCAATACCCCTACGCATGCCGTTCGGCTCAGATCCCAATATAAATATGCTTTTAAATAATATGTCTAGATAAACAGAACTATCTTGTTTCTACATCATAAATGCTAATAATAAAACAATTCTACAACTATTTTATACGTTTTGAAAATTGAAAAAAAAATTAGATTTTCAAAAGAACGTTTAGCTCGAATCGGTTAAAGTGAAAACTATTCAAAACTAATGTCTCAAAAAATTACTTACTGTTCAAAAGAATCTTTGAACGAAAAAACGGATATGCATTTTGCAGTGTTCTGCTTAGGATACTCGAAATTTATACGCATCGTTTGTTAAAATAAGTTACAAAGTTCGCTGACAGAAAGGGCTGCTAATTTAATCAAACAATAATTTTGTTTTTAAGAATTACCTCCGACAAAAAAGTAATGAATTGCGAAGAAAAAAAATCGAATTTTCAAGAAAAAATTTAGTTTTCTAAGAAAAACGTAAAAATCTTTATGTGCGTATTTACTTCAATTTTCTTTTCATTTACTTTTGTTAATTTTTCCTTTTCTAGAGCAACTCAAAAAAATCAGATTTACCACAACCTTGAACCCTCTCCCTTAAATGTGTACAAAGATGTAATTATTGAAATATTTGTTTCAGGTGGTGGAACATTGTCTGGAGAGTTTAGAATTGGACGCACATGCAGATCGTCCAGTAAATGCCTTAAGTGGAGGAACGAAAAGAAAACTTTGTACATCTATCGCCACTTTAGGGGATCCAGAACTTGTACTCCTGGTGAGTTTTGACAAAACAAATAAGACTGAACATCTTCACACCAATTGTTTTACGAATATGTTGGTGTGTTTTAGTTTAAATCTTGGGAATTAAATCTAAAACTAAAATGTGAACAGTTATTCACTTTTCTACATAGTCGCCGTTAACATTGAAACGTTTGTCAAGTTGAGGCACCATCTTTTGAATCCCATGATCAAAGAACTCTGCTGTCTGACGGTTAAACCAGTTAATAAAGTTAAATATGAGCGTTTAACCAGTTAGCAAACAGTTAAACCAGTTTCTTTCAACGTGTTACCATTTTCCAAGCGTTTACCACAAAGAAATTCCGTGAGTGATGGAAACAGGTGAAAGTCTGATGGAGCTAAGTCAGGGCTGTATGGTTGATCCAGATCGTTCGTCGTCATAAACATTTGTTCTTATATCATTAAAAAGCCTACGCCATTAACGTGATTTTTCCATCATTTGTAACGTCCCGCAGTGGATTGATTGTTAAGACACGGTTCCCAGCAGATCACCGAAGTCAAGCATCACTGGCTGCGGGCAGTGAGCGAATGGGTGACCACTTGGGTCAGTCTGCGTAGGAACCGAGGGTATGCGGTACTGGTCCTCGTTAAACTGTTCTACCGTAAAGTGCTCGACTTCGCTTGCAGATCGTCGGGCTACCGAAGCGGAGGTGGCATCCCCTCTGCAGAGGATCAAAATTATGATGGTATGTCTTCGGATCATCCTCTGGGATGTTTCTCAGACCGTCGCCAATAGCCCATCGTGTAGCTCTAGTGCGATGTAAATTAACTACAACAACAACATATTCACCATTAACATTGAAACGTTTGTCAAGTTGAGGCACCATCTTTTGAATCCCATGATCAAAGAACTCTACTGTCTGACCGTTAAACCAGTTTCTTTCAACATGTTACCATTTTCCAAGCGTTTGCCATCAATAAATTCCATCCGTGATAACGTCCCGCAGTGGATTGATTGTTAAGACACGGTTCCCAGCAGATCATCGAAGTTAAGCATCACTGGCTGCGGTCAGTGTGCGAGTGGGTGACCACTTGGATCAGTCTGCGTTGGGACCTAGGGAATGCTGTATTGGTCCTCGTTGAACTCTTCTACCGTGAAGGTGGGGGTGCCATCCCCTCCGCAGAGGATTAAAATTATGATGGCATGTCTTCGGATCATCCTCAGGGATGTTTCCCAACCGTCGCCATTTGCCCATTGTGCAGCTCTAATGCGACGTAAATGAACAACAACACCATCATTTATAACACCTTTCCGATAAGCTTCAATAAGCTGCCGGTAAATTTCACCAGAACTTACTTTTATTTGCATATAAGAACTGAATAACTGAACGATCGACATGATTACTGATTGGCATAGTGACAAACAAAGCAGTATAACCATACAACCAACTCCCGCAAAGACCAGAAACGTAATGGCGGCGTAGTGAGAGACTTTCCAAGAGTTGTCAATCTTGACATCACTTGGCACGATGCGCAATCGGTTCTTACTTTAAAACAAACCCTCGTGTGCATGTAAACTCGAGAGTTTGTTACTGAGGATATTTTACGTCATCACTGTGGTCGATGGAAGCCAGATGCGGAATTCGTATCGACCAGACATTGCGGCGATTCGAACCCGGTTCGCCTCATTGGAAGGCGAACGCTCTATCCCTTTAGCCATCACGGCTCAATTAATATCAATACATATTAAAAATATTCGATTTCCAAGAGTTGAGAGAAGCCCCACTTATGTGTTTGCTCCGAAGCCTCCGGAAGTCTAGCTACGCTACAGGCCTTTTTAAAAATAATTTTTAAGCAATTAAATAACAGATAAGAACTGTGGTGGAATGTGTCTAAAAAAATCAAGTTTGAATTTGGCACCTGATTTATTTAATAGCATATGTACTAACATGTAATTCGATATATACGAGATGTAATTAATTATGTAATGCGTTTATATTTTCACAATTTACAAATCTAGAATTAAAAAAATTTTCTTATATGCTTTACTTCACTTGTAGGATGAACCAACGTCCGGCATGGATCCGGCAACCAGAAGACTAGTCTGGAAAAACATATCACAAATAACTGAATCAGGTCGATCAGTTATATTGACCTCACATAGGTATAGTAAATAAATTTTCAATTTTCAATTCAGTAATTGAGTGCTGAGCAATATTGTAGTATTCAAGTATGAGCAATATCCAAGTATCACGATATATCATACGAAAAATCACACTATTTTTTAGTTCGAACAATTCGCATTATTTTGCTCAACATTTTCATTACACAAATTAAATTTATTACTGTTTTATAATTGTATCGTAATCTGCAATTATTGCTGTCTATAATTTCACAATCGCGATTTTGTCGTATCTTATGCGTACTTTATGCATATGACTCGTGATATACTGTAAGAATACTTTTAAAATATAATTATGTCATGTTAAAAAAATATGGATGCTGCACGATACATCGTTTTATCACCCAACTATAGAAGTAATCTATCGTCCTAAAAATTCCATTATTCTTATTTTCATCATTAATAATTGGTTGAACAACGTTTTCTAATTTGTTACCCTGAAAAATTATCTCAACATAAGAATGACGTTTGTAGTAATAAGCAAATTCCTAAGTAAAATGCCATGGGTTTATTATAACGCCACATTCATCAAAATCTATGGTAATTTTTTGATTTTTTTTCGCACTGACAACATCGTTATATAAAATGAATAATACACCCGAAGACAAATAATTATACCGAATTTTACAGAAATAAATTTTCACCCGTTTAAACTTTATTTCTATTTTATTTCATAACCGGCATTGGACAGCTAATCCATGTTCAACTCCGTTGCCATGTAATTTTAAACCCAACCCATCAAGAAAACTCCTGGATCAATCATTGGGTGCAACTAGCCTTTATGAATTACTTTTTTATAGAACTAACCCGCATTTGCGTTACATGGAGAGGAAAACCACCAAAACTCCCACGGCTAGCTTGATGGCAAGGATCGTCTACCCCTGAGGATATTTTACGTCAGCACTGTATCGGTGCAAACCGGAGCATAATTCGTATCAATCAGCCACCACTGGGATTCGAACCTGGCTCATCTCATTGGGAGAAGAAAGCTCTATTCTTTAAGATTACACAGCTCTGCTTTCATATTTTGAACTAACACAATGTCTAATTTTTTTAAATATGGTGCAAAATTTTGACCTTTCTGTCGAAGACTGAATTAAAAGTAAAGTTTAATCTCCGAAAATCATTTTCGCCAAATTCCTAAGCCATATAACGTTACATAAGGTAACATATTGCATAAGACTATGCCTATCAAAGAAAGTGAAATAATTCCAAAAAAAAAAAGGAGGAAGAATGTTACTAGGGCGGTTAACAGTAGTAGAATTTTTAAGCCATTTTCATTAAATACCTATTGATGTTACGTACTTAAGATAGCAAATTGCTCGAAACCATGTCGGATGCTTAAAACAAAAGATGAAATAGAAAAATAAGAGGAAAAATATCTGTACGGAGTTGCGTAATTTTTGAGCCACATTCATCCTATCATTTTAGTGTATCTAGTTTTTCCTTTTATGGTCTTTTTGAAAAACATAGCTCTTAAATGTTTAATTATCTTTCATGATTATATGTATTCTAAGAAAATTGTTTCCATTTAGCATTGAAGACTGTGATGTATTATGCTCAAGACTGGGGATAATGGTGAACGGCAAAATTGCATGTTTAGACAACCCCTCCAAGCTAAAATCAAGGTTGGTATCTTGTAATACAGAGTAAGCCTAATTAATTCATTCAATCTCAAAGGACAGCATTTTTTACAAGCATACAACGTACAAAGACTTGGAAAGATAAGTACACTCACCAAGTGTCTGAGTGGACTGATCGTTAAGACACGGTTCCCAGCAGATCACCGAAGTCAAGCATCACTGGCTACGGTCAGTGTGCGGGTGGGTGACCACTTGGATCAGTCTGCGTAGGGACCGAGGGTGTGCGCTATTGGTCCTCGTTAAATTGTGCTACCTTAAAGTGCTCGACTTCACGCGCAGGTCGTTGGGCTACCGAAGCGGGGGTGCCATCCCCTCCGCAGATGATCAAAATTGTGATGTCAAGTCTTTGGATCATCCTCCGGGATGTTTCCCAGACCGTCGCCAATAGCCCAATGTGCAGCTCTAGTGCGACGTAAATTAACAACAACAACAACCAATTTTCTGAGACTTATTAAAATTGTACGCCCACTTGCTCACACGACGCACATCCAGTTTCAAACATGCTTTCAATGGCATGATTCTATCAATTTTCGCCATCGCAGTATGGATTTGTTATAGTTTGTCTACGGTAAGAACTTCCCCCACCTCAAAGTCTGAGGCCGTCTGCTGCTATGGGAACAAGAATAGTGCATTTCAGGAAGGGTAGCTCTTCTTTCCTCTAGGACTAACAGAATAGAACGAAGAAAAATATTCCCTTTTTTTCGCCGACCACACATTTCTACTTGAAGTAGTAGTTATACCTCGTTACCATAATCACCGCCACTGGTTCAGACGAATGGATAGGGGAGTTCTTACTTTAAACAAACTATACTGCAGTGTTGTCGGTATTGAGGGTAAATAAACGTGCTCAGAAGTTTTCATAACCTCAATGACGCTGCGATCATTGATCGAAACATTGAAGAGTTATTTATATTACTGATTGACCATTGGGGTGGGTGCCGTGTGACCAAGGAAAAATACATTGATGTACTAGAATTTCGGTAAATGCATCCTTCCATTTATCATGCGTTTTTGTACGTTATATATTTGTGAAAAATATGCACAGATTTTTGAAGGTGGGTGTATCAATAAGGTGTGGTGCTATAACAGTATTTTATAGTACTGTTTCATTTATCATTAAATTATCACACCCTCATATTTGAAATCAATTCATAAGTCATAATTTTTTTTCTTTTCTTTTCAGATTGGGAACTGGATACACGTTGTCTTTCAGAATGACTGAAAACTTCTCAAAACACTCTTCTCTTATAAATTTCATCCAAGAAGGTCTTCCAACCGCACGCATACAAGTAACGTAAAAATTAACCACATTTATATATCTTTGTAAAACCGGTTGTTCCAAAAATGACTGGCGAATTGAAAAATCAATTTAAAGTAGTGCGGTTCACTGCGAAACAAGAAATTAGATTAAGACTCGCCATCTCTGCTATAGACAATGTAAAGGTGGGAAATCCTTTTCTCTGACAATTTTGGAAATTGAATGGCCCAAGCATCGAACACCTAGTATTGGCCCATACTTGGAGGGGCCTATTTCAAAAGTTTAATCTATGTTGGTAATTTTTATTTCATAATTGTCGTTGAACAGCCGACCCAATCTTGATTTTACGGCCACCAATGTTCATCGCCGTATTCTTGTAATTTTCAACACAATCCAGAAGACAAGGGAGCATTTGGTATCTTTTTTCAAGCAAAGTCAAATGAAAAACTAAAACGTCAGAAAATTTTTCCTCCCAATTTAATTTAAATGTTCGACATTTTCTTCGGTTTATTTTTTCCAGGATCAAGTATTGGGAAAAAAAATTTCCTTCGTAGAGGACTGTGGAACTAACCCACATTTGCGTTACATGAAGAGGGAAGCCACGAAAATTTTTCAAGGTTAGTCTGATGGCAAAGGGGACTCTAACCCATGATCCATCTACCACTAAGGATATTTTATGTCAGCACTGTGGTTGATGGGAGCCGAGTACGGAGAAATAGTATCAACCAGCCCTCATTGGGAGGCGAATACTCTATCCCAAGAAAAACTAAGGCTCTATGCTGGAAATTGTAATTTTATTTTATATTATAACCGTCTTTGAACATCCGACCCAATTTTGGGTTTACGACTACTAATGTTCAACTCCGTAGCCTTGTCATTTTGAACCAATCCGAAAGACAAGGAAACTCCTGGATCAGTACCCCCAGAGGTATGATTTGTAATGGGAACATGGAGGACCTTGTGACTCGACAGATTTAACGTGCATCAGTCACCATTTACTACACGGGGAGTCTTCGTCCAGCAGGGATCGAACCCACGACATGGGCCCAGTGCCCTACCAACCAGGCTATCCCGGCCCTGGAAATTGTAATTGTAATAACTGATTGGAAAGAACCACAGCATCAGCTATATAAACAGTTGCAATAGCTCCCACACTACTACGCATGAATAAGGTACAGCGCTGCACAATTTGCATCCAGCCCTAATTTTGCTAGATATTAAAATTTCAAGGTATAAAAAGTTTTAAATTAGCATTAAAATTTCGTAACACATTCTTCTAAGTTATTTTTTGTCCTCCTATATATTAAGTTTTTTCAGGATTTTGAAAGGTTAGTTACCAATTTGGCCACCGAGTTATAATTTATTGAGTGTCATCGTTAATATAGCCTTTTTTTTGATCCGCTCGGGGAACAGAGCGTTCGCTTACCAATGAGGTGACTCAGATTCGAACCCCAGCGGTGACTGGTTAATACAAATTCTGCTCCCATCAAACACAATGCTGATGTAAAATATTATCAATGGTAGACGAATCATGGGTTAGAATTACCTTATCGCCAGGCTAACCATGAGACGGTTTCGTGATATGCCTCTCCACGAAAAGCAAATGCGGGTAAGTTCCATCAAAAAGCCTCCACGACGTTAGTTTGTCCCAATGCTTGATCCAGGAGTTCCCTTGTCTTCTGGGTTGGCTTAAAACTACAGGGCAACAGGGTTGAACATGGATAGTCGTAAACTCAGAATTGGGTCGGTTGTTCAACGCCGGTTTGAAATTAAAAAAAAAGTATTGCCTCTTTGGGAACAGGTTCTTTTTTTTTCTTCATAAACCTAATCATGCAACTGTGATTATAAACTTCAGTGGTAGCTAACAATTGAAAATATTCACTCAGGATTGGAAATATATCACTTTTTTTAATATAGGTAATTAACGAGAAGAAAAAATTGTGGGTTCATGAGGATGGATTAAACCAACATTTTAGTATAAATAGCGCTTTTCTAAAATGATTTTTATATTAAAAAGAATATAAATAAATGTTTTCTTTATACAGGTGCACAGTGGTAGAAGAATCGAATTAATACTACCGGATGAAAATGTTTCTCTATCAAACCTGTTTTGTCAACTTGAAGAATGTGCCAAAGAGTTTGGTATGGAGGATCTCGCAATAGATCCCACAACTCTCGACCAGGTAAATAAGTTGCATTCATAAAGTTAGTTATTTCATATATATATATATA